AGAACCGATATTTATTTGGAGTAAAATTTCTCATTTGGAGCTATTTTTTAATGATTCGATGCATAGTAATGTAGTGGGTTGATGATTCAGATAAATCATATCAGTGAATTGGTGAGTCAAACATTTAAGCCAGAAGAAAAGACAATAGTTAAAAAAGAAAACAATTAATTTAATATAGAATAAATTAGACTTTAATAGCAAACAATCGCTAAGTGGGACGAGTAAGGAAAAACACGCACCATCGGCTAAATGTATATATATATATATATATATATATATATATATATATATATATATATATAATATATATATATATATATATATATATATATATATATATATATATATATATATGTATATATTATTTTTTTAATTGAACTATTAAATAAAAACAGTGAAAAATGTATATTCTGCCAACTGAAAATATTCTCGGGACCTTCAAGAACTACACAAGGTATCAATAAAACAGTTTACCTAGTTTTTGGAGTTCTAAAAAAAAAAAAATAATATTTGTTATCTAAAAAAAATAACCAAAAAAAGTAATTTAGCCGATGTCGCGAGTTTTTTCTTACTTGTCCCACTGTGAACCGGTAGCAATTTGATCAAATAATCATTTCTTAATAAATTCGTAATATATTTATTACTACCTTATTTTATTTGTTTTTCAAGCTGTAATGCAATATCCTGCTATCTTATTTTCGTTAATTATGAACAAGAAGAGAAGAATTTAATCTTCGAATGCTAAATTTATATTAAATATTTAAAAATTGTCTCTTCAATTTCATCGGAACGATTTTAGAATGAAATATCATTCTTTGAATAAGCATCCCTTTCGGTTACTACAGGTATCGGATGAACCGAGAGTAAAGCATAAATTTTAAATTAAATCAAGTATTCGAGTACATTTAAACTCAATCCTCGTTCCGGATCAAATCCACTGGAAAATAAACCAGACTCTCGGAAATGACAAAGCGTGATACTCTTTGGAAAACTGTTCCGCCGAACCTTTTGTTTCCTCCTGGCAAATCCTCGAACGAATCCCTCTCCTTAAAAACAGAAACAGATTAGTTTCCTTAACTTCTCTTCCGCGAGAAGGGGAGAGGGGAACGCGAAAGAAACGGAAAAAGGGAAAGTAATATAAAAAGAAAGGAAAAGAAAAGAAATAAAAAGAAAAAAGAAGTCGAGAAGAGAAAATAAAATATTGGAAGGTACAAAAGAGATAAATGACCTGCTTTCTTGCTTCACCCTTTTAGAAAAATTGGGAGCAATAGGGGTTGGAGGTTTCTTCCCTAACTCCACGGGAGGAAGGGAAGGGAAGAGAAATTCGGAGACAGTAAAAAACAATGAAAACTAATAATGAAAAATACCTTCCATTCCGAAGATTAATTAAGGGTACTTTTCTTCTATCAGCCTCGTAATTAAACGCTCATGAAGAAAGGATTCCGGATTCCAGAGATAGATTGTTTCGTAGTAAACAGAAAAACAGTCATTGCTCTTAATCAAATATATATATATATTTTTTTTTTAAACTGAAGCTGAGAAAACTAAGCGAAAGGTAGTAAACCATACAAGATGAAGAATCCAAAGAAGTCTGGAAAGGTCTACAGGACTCCATGTAACATTGTGGAAAATTAAATGTAATAAGTGAGTTTACACTCACTCTGTCTCGAGAGTAATTCCATTTCTTTCCGGGTACAATTTTTAGTTTTTTTATAGCAGACTAAAGTATTAAAAGGAAATTTAATGTTTTAGGTGACCTTAAAAAAAAGTTTTAGTGATAAGATACATTTTTTTTTTTTATAACATTACTTATGAAAGACTATCTAAAAGAATTTTTAATGTTCCATTAATAATTAACATAAAATATAAAGAATTATCTGTAGGAGAAACTAATTTTATTTTTATTTTAATATCGAATTAATTACACAATTTCTAAGTTGACCCCTCTAAAAAAAGGAAACAGCTTATCATATAACAATATCGTTGCTACGATTAACAGAGGTGTTTTATTTCAATACACCAAATTCATTAAGGTCAAACCCGAAGTCAAAAATAAGATTTTAATGCTCAGACAAACAGTAGGTATATAATTAGCGTTTATAGTGGGGGTCTTATAAGAATTGTCACATGTAATAATTAAATTATAAATTATTCCTTCGGATCTAACGACAGTCTTGAAATAGCATACGTCATTATTCCTAGATACTAAACATAATATTAAAAAAAAAAAATCCTAATATTGTAGAACTTGCATTGTTTTGTTTGTATTGAATCAGTACGATATTTAAAGTACAGTAAACTGAAAATATTGCTGTTATTAAAATGTATTCATTATATTAAAAGTTGAAATCTTGAAGTTTTGATGAATTGGCTAATTAATTATTAGTTTTAATTTATCGCAGTTGATAATTCGGACGTTGATTGCTTGCATGCTTAATTGCCTGAATTAGTTGAATTAATGCATCTTATCTACTGTTGTCCTTGTTGATTATTGTTGCTGTTGTAATACTGTTCAGCTGTTGTCCTTTCTTTATTGTTATTGTGATGTTTGGGTAGAGAAATAATGGCATTTTGTGGATTAAATGGTGTTAAAGATTTTTTATTCAAGCCTCATTTGTTCCTGAATTGATTTCCTAATATTAAAGAATTGATCGGTTTGCATATCCAATATCTATTTGATATTTCAGATAAAAAGAAGCGTGCCGAGCATTGCATACGTATTTTAAAGGTGAAGCCACAGGCAGTGGAACATTACTCCGAGGCGACCGGAAGCAGTTTTACACGGCCAACAAATCGCCCAGAACGGAAGCGGGAGTGGCGTACCGCATCCGAGTCGATAAAGCACTATTGTGGTCCCGAGTAGCCATCTCACCTTTTGTTCTTGAATACTCAAACAAGCTAATTTCTGATCCTCCCATCTACGTCTCTGGTATCTTATCGTATTTTCACTCTTAAGCCCCGCTCTCATTAACAAATCAGATATCCATTTGTTAACCAACCGTAAAACTCAACATTTTAATTTCAGTAGCTTCCAAGGTTAATTATATTAATGTCGTAAACATATGACTTCCTGGTTCTACAGTATCCTTTGCTAACACCCCACCTATCCCTGTTGAAGAAATCCGATATCTACGACTCCACCTGAATAAACGTCTCACTTGGATCTGCATACCAGACTGAAACGACAAGAAACTCCTGGAAGTTTCCGCTAACTCCAGCATTTACAAGACAAACGTTCTAGGGTTCCAATTAATTACAAAAGACTCATATGTATGACTGTAATGAGGCCTATTTGGACTTACGGGGCTTCTGCCCGAAACTCCTCCCCCGTAGATCCGCCCGTGATCGTATCCAATCTTTACAATCCAAAATACTTCGTAAAACCCTCAATGATTCCTATTGTGTCATAAATAAAATAATCCATAAAGACCTTTATGTTCCACACTTATATGTTTCCGACCGGGTCCATTCCAGATACCCATCCTTCCAGAGTAAACTTCATAACCATCCGAATCCTCTCGTTTCTTGCCTTGCTTCCTCTTCGATCCCCGATAACCCTATGAGGCGTTTGGAAAGAAGATGACCTCGTGATGCTGATTTAGAAATTTCATTAGAGTGCTACCAATCGGTAGTTTATCTACAAGTGTTTTGATGTCATTGCAATTGTATGCATCGTACTTGCTTTTATACAGTTGTAAATTTCATAAATAAAATAATTTAAAAAAATTATACTAATCAAAATGCCACAGTCATAGTTCAATAGGATAAACAAAGAAGTAAAACAATACATTTAAAAACGCGTGACATCCTGAAAGTCTAATATATAATATCCTTACACTTCATAAAGAACTACACCTCCATTCAAGTTATTGTATTTAAACCTAAGGGAGAATTCCGCTTTGTGAGGTCTGCGAAATTGCTTTTCGCCGGGAGGAATAAGAAAAAAAGAAGCATACATGAAATGTAAAGAACACATAATCTTCCATAAGGTGACAAAAAAGAAAATGAGTTGAGAAAGAAAATAAGTTCTGTAGAGTGTTTTGAATGGCTTCCAAGAAATCTCTGAGGGAAATACATTCCAATTTACCAAGTAAAGGGAAAATTTCTTCTTTAACAGATCCGACATATTTCATCGGGCTCGAGTGTTCAAAACACTCTTACAACTAAACAACGGAATAAGTTTCATCACAAATAAAAGTAATTAGTGCAAAATGGTTACCATGACTTATAAAGTATAACCATATGTAAACATGACAATGGAAAAAATTTTGTCAATATTGTATATGTTTTTTTAAAGTTTACGGAATTTCCCCCCCAAAAAATAGTTAAAATCGGACAATTAGGAGCAAAGGTATGGTCTGTACTTTTTTTTTTTTATATGTTCTACTCCAAATGTTATATCATTTTTTTGGTTTTTAAATTTTGAATGTGTTACTAAAGTAATGCTATTTTTTTTTGGCATATTACTAATGATTAAAAAAAAAAGTTTAGTCCTATAATTGGAATCACCTTTTATTTGTTTTTCTTTGTAATTAGGAACTATGTGTTACTAAAGTAATGCAATTTTTTTTTTTTTTTGGGCATATTACTAATGATTAAAAAAAAAAGTTCAGTCCTATAATTGGAATCACCTTTTATTTGTTTTTCTTTTTAACTAGGAAGGTAATGTTACTTTAGATGTATAGTTGTTTGGAAATAATAAACCATTGTGAAATAATTTTCAGCGTTTTTTTTATATGGACATATGCGATCGTTAACATTGCGGACCTATGTGGACATTAGTTTTCTTTAGAGAGAACGTAAAAGAACTGTGAAAGATATAATTACATGATCTAATAAACGTTGGAAGAGATATCAAGCTATTCTTAGAAAGATGTAAGAACACCAATTCTCAAAGTAAATCCACGAAGCCCATACTCTTGAACAGAAACGTGACAACCTTTAGCACAGAAAGGCCACGACGTCTTATTTCATCGAGAAGTGCGCTTTCGAACTAGGATATGCTCATGTTCCCGAACCGAGTTACGAGGTCAGATGAAAGGAAGATGAGAGAAAAGATCCTCATAAGTTTTCAGGTGGTTTGTAGGGAAGTCCGCTGATTCTATTTCAAGGGACAGTTTAAATCATAAAACCGTGGACTCGGTCCAAATCGATGGACTACACCCTCCATTTCTCCTGTATTTTTTATCCTTCCGACTCTCCTCTTGGCAGGGGGAACTATTTTCATAGAGGTACTATATTATGTTTATTCACAAAATCTGAAATGACATTCGAAAATAATAAGACGCCGGACTGTGGGCAGAAATAATTCTCGGCGTCCCACGGCCGCGCGTTCAGTCATGGATCGAATTATACAATTTCTCGACGAGGAGTCGTAATTCGCCTTTCTTATTCGCCGACCGAATCGTAAACTGAGTCCAAAAAACGATAGATATTAGGCCTCGAAGCTCGTTAGCATTTGATCTATAATTTTAGATTCCTTTGGCATACCCCCTCGGGTTTAATAGCTGTGTCATTAACGTTAGGGCCAGTCTCAGGACAGGACTGCACCTTTCCAATCCTTCTTGACTATACAAATATAATCCTGTAATAAACTCTAAAATGTACAGTAATGTTTAGAGTTTACTACGGGTCTATCAATTATAAAATCATTAAATCAAGAGGTAGGATCATCAAACAGAAAATAGATCTCTTCTTCCGAACAGTTTATTGGATGTGGAGATTCCACGGCATAACGGCAATGTTGTAATTATAGTTAGATATTAAAATACCAAAATAATTTATTAAACATTTTTTTTAAATTATAAAATAACGTTATTTATGTATAATAACGTAATTTATGTATAATTAATTACTTCATAAATACCATGTACAGATAATATGCAAATAATTGTAAACTAAATAATGTAACTATTTTAATCTGCTTCTACTAATTAAAACGAGAAATAATTTAAAAATCGGGATATTAAAAATCCGACCTAACTCATCGGTAGTGTTGCCCAAAATCGGTCTTGGTTTTGCACTTTGCAAGACCAAGACCAAGCCCACCTAACTGTCGCAAGACCAACACCAGGACTGGTAAAAAAAAATCCATTTTTTTAAACGAAACTTAAGACAAAATAGTAACTAATACTCAACAATTTTAATTACTATATGTTAATAATTGGTATAACCAATATACTTTTGCATTTACCTCTCCTAATTTTGCATTTAACTCTCATTTCGGCTTAGTTAGGTTTCTTCTATATAAAAAATTAAAGTAATACCTCTACAGTGGTAAGCTAATAAGTAACTGCAAGACTGTTGCGAGACTCTTGCGCAAGACCAAGACTTAGTTTGCAAGACCAAGACTCGTCTCGGTCTCGCATTTGGGCAACACTACTCATCGGACTATTTTCTTCCATCTTAAGTGATCATTTTAAGACCAAAAAGAAGAAATGTAAATTTTATTCTTGGGCATTTATTTATAATTTGGAGGTTCTCTAAGAATAATGAAAATTAACAATAGAAGTAACATTTATCTGGCAACAAATGACAACCGTTATGTTAAACAGAGTTATGCAACTTACTAAATAATTGAATTATATATAAATATTAGTTCGTTTTCATCAGGGATGCCTACAAGAGGGTTACATGATTTGCTCCAACAAAATGTTTGAGGTGGCACATTTTGACGGAGTTACGCATTTTCGGATTGAAAAGTTTCAAACCAATGGACAAGAGAAAAGCATTGTACAGACCACTGAAACTGTAATTGTATAAGACCTATGATCTTTTAAATTTTACCTTATCTTGCACTGTTTTAAAGAAAAGAAGGGAAACAAAATATCTTAAAAGGAGGGGTGAGCTATCGACCTTGGGGGGAGGATGAGCACCCCTGGTTTACATAATAGCACTAGCGAGCAATTAGATAATACTTAAATAATAGTAAAATTAGACTGAAAAAAATTGAATTCTTATGTAGTGTTAAAAGATGCGGTTTTGCGGAGTATGGAGGTGGGTAAGAAGTTCTAAAACCAGGTAAAACGCATGACAAAGGATTTTTTACAGCAAGGCGTTCCATGAAAAAGATTATACAGGTCTGTAGGTTTGAACCTTATGTTGAAAGAATGGTAAGATGAACGCGAAATAAACAGATTAAGAAGGAAGGAAGGTTTTTGGTTGTAGAAGTTCGGAAAAGGAACATACCTAGTAAAAGTTTTAAATATCGAATATCAAAAAGTATATGATAGATTTTATTTGACGAATAATATTTATTTCAATAAAATAACTTTATGATATTGGATTCCTAGTTTGAAATGCGAAATATAGTAATATAATATTTAATAAAATTTATAAATTATAACATTTATGAATGTATCGATGAAATGAAAATAAGAATTTCGAAAAGCAATTGATATTGTTTAAACAATTTCGGTTCCAGTCACTAGGACCTTTTAGATGTGGTATTCAAATCAAAATAAACCTTATTATGAAGTAAATTATTTTTAAAAAATTAATAAACATAAAACCTTTACAAACTGGAAACTATTATCATAAATAGGTTCTACTTCGTGATTAGGACTTTGAAATCAATTACACGAATGGGTATATCCATTAATAAATTAGGCCGTCCAATTCAAAAAGTTTTCATTAACAATGGCCGACACCGAGGCCGAAGAGCGATAGAAAAGGGGGGTATTAAAAGCTCCCAAAAAATACAGCGACCCGTTTCATCAAGAAGATTCCCTTCAACTATAAACAGAAAAGGACAGCAGGGACGGTGGAAAAAAGAGGAAAAAAATGGATGAAAGGAGATCATAATGATGATTACAATCGATCTTAGTGTTTTTTCATCCCCCGCTGAGGTTAAGGTAGTAATCAAGGTAAAATAGAAAATGTGGCTGACGATTCATGCACGTCGCTACGAGACGTCTTAATTCAAAACCATTAGATAGGAGCAATCAGTTAATATGAGTCATTCAATGTCTTATTTTTTTGAGAATTTATTTGTTTTTTTTTTTTTTTTTTGCTTTTTAATAAAATTAATCTATTTCTGACGCATACAAAATTTAAAGAATAATTATTTACATCGTGAAAGCAATAATAAAAGAAAATTGAATCTAATCAATTATCCTAAATACCATAAAGAGACTTATTTATAATTATAAAAATAATTTTCCCCAATTCTCCTTTAACCCTTTCCATTTTCCTACATAGATCAGTTATAATAATAAGACTACTAAAATTTAGAATTCCTCACACTCGTCCGAACCACAGGTTTTCCTTAGAACACTTAGTACTTAGCCAGAGACCGGATTTTATATACCATGTAATATACTTTAAAAAGGTAAAATATGCAACAGAAAATCACCAAATATGCTAAAATATTGAAATATTCCTATTAAACGTCTGTACTGAACAAATTATTGGGGAAAGGATTAAATTTAATAAAATAAAAAAAAAATACATTTTTGTCTCTTTTTTTATAAACTAAAATAATAGTTAAAATACAATGTTAACAAAAGGACAAAAAAACACACACAAAAAAAACATGCCTCATGGAAGTAAATGAATACGTACTAAAAATATCGGCTTTATGTCTTTAGTAAAAACTTGTTTTGAACAATAATTGAAAAAATAAAAACAACAGAATTTTATGAGTTTTAATATATGTTTCATCTTTGCTTTTATCAGTGTCGATTCAGGCAGGAAATGAAAAAAAAAAAAATGCTATTTTTAAGAAAATTGTTCAAGGTAGAGTTATTCTCTATATTTAAAATGAATCTATGTAATATATCATTTTATCCTGAAATATTTAATGCTGCAATTTAATTATTTGCAACTAAGTATCTGATTTAATCATAATCAATATAAAAACGTATTTATCGTGAAACATGCAAAATAAAATTTCACTCATTGTACATATGATTCAACAAGGTTCTTGATCAGCATTTTAAAAACTGCTATAAAAAAAACAATAAGGCGTGTGCTTTAGACCACAAGATAAAAGTGAAAACATCAACCAGGCGTGATTAATAATATTAAATATAAATTATAAATAATAGCTAATCACAAAGAAGATGAAATACTGAACATTTCTCTCTCTTGCAGTATACCGGCCCGATATTTAGTTTGTGAGATATTTTAATATCATACGTAAAAACATTTTAATTAGTCGACTCTAGCCGATTTTATCCGAGCGTTAATACTTCGGAAATCTGACGTATCAATCTAAATCACTCTCCACTAAAAAGTGCAGAACGTACCCAAATAAGTTTTTTCACTTCAAAAAATAGGACTTTGTATATAAACAATGACTAAATAAACCTAAAATATCCTAATCAATTCCTATAATTCAATATTCCCTGTTCTATAGCTAATTGATAAGATATTCGCGAGACCAAAAAGTACCATAGAACCCGATTTTATCAATTGTTTTAATCTTGGAACGCAGGAGAAATATAATTTTCAGAGCTTATTATTTTTAAACTGAATAAGTAGTGACACTGTTAAAAGGGTTTAATAGTTAAACACTGGGCTTAATTATAGTAAAATTAAGCCAATCGTGCATGACATATATACGCCAGTTGTGGCAAGATATTTTTCCATTCCAGAATCCAAGAGGTTTTACAAATGGGACAATGGAGCTGACTAATGAAATGACATCGGAGAGGATAAATTTCCAGAAAAAGACCTCGGCTGTTGTGTGGCTCGAGTTTCCTAAGCGTAAGAACTTACTGGCTGCGACATGTGAAAGAAAGTTGGGACCAGAAGCCAAGTCTATCGGAAAGTCTATCAATACAAGTCCGCAGATTGAGTCCAACTCTTAGTTTCAACTGCTCCCTTATATTTCACCGTCTCCATCCCTCTTCTCCGTTTCACTTTATTTAGCGAACCGTATCGAGCTCTTTCTCGGCCACGGTTCTCTTAATTGGAAATTTTTTTTTAATCTAATTTATTTAGCTCAAATTGATTTTCTCGGTCGCCATGTCTTAAAAGGAAAAAAAAAAAAAATTAAAAAGTAGTACGGGAAACGTCAGAGAACTCGAATAAAAAATATCCCTTTCTTGTTGTAAATTAGAATTATCGAATAAAAAATAATTAGAAAATTACACACAATAACATGGAATATTAAGTGTAAGTAAAAACTTAATAAATCAACTTGTATAACCGAATTTATACAATCGAATTATCAACAGCTTTAATTAAACGATAAAAACTGTAAGTTGTAATGTCCATGGTAAAATATTAAAAACTTATATTATTGTTCGCGTAATTACATTTGATATGACTTCAAGAACCAATTAAACACCGTTTCATCGGTAGTTAGGATCTTTCTTCTTCTTCCAAAGTAATAATCGTTACACACACATATATATATATATATATATATATATATATATATATATATGAGAGAGAGAGAGAGAGAGAGAGAAAGTGAAAGAGAGAAAAGCCTTGAAGGGTTGAACGCCCAACTCTTAAAAAATAAAAAAGTTAAAATCCGCTAGTAGTTCTAACGAATCCAATCAATTTTAAGTGTTTCAAGCAAAATCATTATTAATTAAATTAAAATTAAAAAATAATATGTAAAAATTAAGTAAAAATAATAAGGTGTCCCATGATTGTAAAAATATTTATAAAATAAAGTCTTAATTCGTGCAACTATTTTCCAGACAAATATTACCAAAATGTTTGAAATTTATGCTACATTTGTATTTTAAATTTATACTATATGCTTGATTTGGCGAAAATTTGGATGATTTTATAATAAATTATTTTACGACTGACACTACTCCTTATCCTCATTAACATGTATAGATTAATTAAAATTTAAAGTATACAAAAAAAAAAAATTATATAAGAACAGAATAAAGATGAAAAAAAAAACTCAGAAGAATCCTAGAGGTAAATATGAATTACATACATTTTATATTATATCAGATTAATATCGCTTTTCTGAATTACCATTTTAAATAATTATCAATTCTTTTAAGTTCCACACCAGATGTAAAAAAACCTGTAACTGTATTTTTTATCAGCTTTCTTTTTACAAAATCACACGAACTTTTCGTGGTATTTATTAATTTAAAATATATTAACTGATTCTATTGTTTTTTTTTTAAAGCAAATTCAATTGATTTATTTAATATATATTATATTAGAATATAATTTATATTAAATTATAAAGTTAATTTTTATCTTATTTTAAACCAATGATAGGATACTAAATGCAAAAGAGATCTTGAATAAACAAAACGAAAAAAGAATTAAAATAAAATAGGAATGGTTGAAAAATTAAAACATTCTTTGAAATAGGATCCTCGGAATGAAATATTACATTGGAACGTTGTCAGGAATAAATCATTTCGGAACGTAACATCGGAGAAGAAACGGAGAGCCGCTACTGCTAAAATAATACCAATGAAAATCCCTTTCCGTGTTTCCTCCTTTTTTTTTTTTTTTTTTTGTCAAGAACCCTCACTAAAACATACATACGTTTATAATTCTGGAATTTGCCTTTCAAATAAGACTGGCGGTTTCACACCCCCGGAGTGATGTATAAGAAGATTTGGGACTAATTTGTATTGCACGGCGGGTCGCCGAGGGAGAGAAAAAAAATGGAATGAGAGACGAAGATTATTTATAGGTTCTGGGTAAGACATCGCTGTACTGCGCCACATGTGCTCCTGTATTTAGTGGCCGTCTTTTTTTTTTTTTTCTTTTTTTTTTTCCTGTAGGCCGAATATGGAATCATTTGTCTAGTCGCTTCATGAGATAGCATCTCTATGGGTCCCCGTGGTCTGAATAATGGCTAGAATTAATATGTAGGGTTAGCCGCTATGGGTTTAAGAGTGTTTAGTAATACTTTAACCTCAATATAAATTACACTAATATATATTCATAAATTTGAAAGCACACGAATTACAAGATAAATGCATTTGAGAGCAGGAAGCACCGCTTTTTTTCGCACAGAAAAGAACCTAAAGAGACATAATTTTAAAAAATAAGTCAAGCTTAGTTGTCACTAGCAACCAACTCCAAACTGTATGCGATTCAACAAATTACTCAACAAATTTAATTTATGTTTTTGAAACCACTTATACGTTTCTTTTCTGAAAATTTTAGAATTAGAGTTTATAACCTAAATATACATTTTAAGATCTCATGAGTGTAATTAAAACAATACCTATTTGTAACCTTTAACTTTTAATTTTAATCGTTTTTTGTTATATTATCTTTTTTTTTTAATCTTTAGCAATAATTTTAATTATTTTGTAAACTTTTTTGCTTGTAATCTTTAGCATTTTATTTTAAACTGTACTTTTTAACATTTGTTTTATCAATTTAAAATTTTAATTTTTGAATCTTTACCTGTTAACTCTTATAATTTGTTTTACACAATGTAATTTTTATTGGATCCTCAGAATTTATCAAATGCATATATATATATATATATATATATATATATATATATATATATATATATATATATATATATATATATATATATATATATATATATATATGTAATCCAATAAATATTAAATTGTGTAAAACAAATTATAAGAGTTAACAGGTAAAGATTCAAAAATTAAAATTTTAAATTGATAAAACAAATGTTAAAAAGTACAGTTTAAAATAAAATACTAAAGATTACAAGAAAAAAGTTTACAAAATAATTAAAATTAAACGTAAAACATAAAAGGAGGACAGTTGACAATCTTGTTTTTCCTCCATCCTGATGAAGGCATGAAACTTAAATAAAAACATCAGCACAAAATAAATTTTTTATTTTAATTGCAGGAGAAGTTGTTTAGGGTATTCAGTCAGTCCTAAAGGTAACAAAGTAAAAATAAATAAATTATATTTATGTAATAAGGAAGGAGATGGTCCGAGCTGGCGGTCATAAATAGACTAAATAGTGGCAAAACTATTTCATTAAAAGGCTTTTAATAAAATAGTTTTGCCATAAATTATATTTATGCATTAAGGGAGGATATGGTCCGAGATGGCGGTCATAAATAGACTAAATAGTGGCAAAACTATTTCATTAAAAGGCTTTTAATAGAATAGTTTTGCCATTATTTAGTCTATTTATGACCGCCACCCCGGACCATCTCCTTCCTTAATAATACAAGGGTCAACTATTAAGTATTCTATATTTATGCATATATCTGTCAAAAATAAAAGTAAATCTAATTTATTTATTTTTACTTTGTTTCTTGTATGACTGAACACCCCAACAAATTTCTCTTCAATACATCTACAGCAGGCAATCCACTATCATAAATTTTTATTTCTGTTTCGCACAGATTTGCAATCCACAATTAAATTCCAAATTGAAAATGTATATTGTTTATCCCCAATAGAAAAAAACGAAAACAGTACCAATGACTTGATTTAAATATAAATGATAAGTAAAATAAAATTATGAAAAGGAGAAGATTGTTGTATTATCTCACTTATCAAATGATTAATGAAAACTATGTCATTCATAATCTGTATCAAAGCTCATTTATCCCCAAGTAATATTCAATCCCATTTGAGGCGACAATATGGGGGCTTAAATGGACTTTTAAGCTGCTGAGCGATTACCGGGGATGATGGGCAGGAATCGAACGCGGCAGAGATAAGGGCTGAAGAGGTCCCATGTCCGGGCCAGAAGTCACCGTCTGGATAAGGATTGGTCCCAATTATCGTAAATATCGGCGGGATAAGGGCACCCGATCCTCTCAGCTAATTATCTGGATAACGAGATATTAACGGTAGGCCACTGGATAACGACTTATAATAATGTAATATAATACTCACGCAAATTCCTTTCTCGTCGCAAATGGCTCCCCAGACGGGAAAGTTGGACTGCAGTAATTGACAGTTCTCCCAGCACTGAAAAAAAATAAAATAAAATAAGATATTTTACAAAACCAATCGATAAGTGCATGTTATTAAATATATTCACAATTGTAAGTAAACAAAGAACATAATATATAAGTATAGTGATTTTACCAAAATTACCCGCAAAATGCTAAAAAGCGCTGCTTTGACAGAACTTTTTTAAAAATTTATTTATAATAATACAATATTCTGTCACTTCGACAATGGTTGTAGAAGACCACATTAACATTATATGTACAAACAAATAAACAGAAGCAAAATAACAAACTAAATAATAATAAAAAAATATATAATAGATAAAATATATTTATTGACAGAACTTAAAAAAAAAGTTTACAAATATAAAAATTGTATAAAACTTTTAAACAAAAGTTACATGGAAAAAAATCTAGTCCCGCAAAAACAGAAAAGTAGTCATAAATGTTGCAGTCATATCAGAACTATTTTTACGTTTAATTTATTTATTCAGAAATATAATAATCTGTCCCACGGACAATAATTAGATAAAATAAGACAATATAATAATAAAAAACTGTGTACAATAAAAAATAAAATAACTTAAAGATAAGTAAATTATTTTTTCTTACCCTCCAAAATGTTTATTGAAACAATTACATATATAGTATACAATAATACAATATATACATGCAATAAATTCCTTCCACTGCCCGAGGGCATAAATAAGTAAATTAAAAACACAGTCATATCTATATACAATTGGGCAGGGAACCCCAAGCTATGCCTTTCCTTTCAACTATAGAGGGAAAATCAGGACTCCAAGAGATTCCTGCGCTACTCTCTCAACCGCATCACTGGTGCTAAAGCCAGTGGAGATTAACCAACAGCGCTTTAGGCACATACACTCATGTCTTGAGTGGAGAATCTGGTCATTGCCAGAACTTCAAAATATATACTACAAAAGTTTCTGGGGCAA